TCTCCGCCCAGCTCTCCAGCCTGTCCGTGCTGCTCGGCTCTTCGTGCCTCCTCCTCGTGGCAGAGAGCCTGCCTGACCTGCTGGCAGCCAGGGCTGAGCCCCACTTACCCCACCCTGTGTGCCGGGCTCGGGCGCACAGCACCGGGGAGCGACCGCACCGCTGCTCTCCTACGGACGCCGTGCCCGCCAGGAAGGACTGCCCGGTTTGCTGCAGCACAAACCAACAGGGCTGCTGCTGGCCTCTTGGGAAGAGCACAGGTCATGCAAGGAGAGCCCGTTCCAGTAGCAACATGCAGACACTCAGTTCCCTGCTACTGCTAAAAAGTCAGATCATCAGGAAAGCTGTCCAAACAAGGACAGCAGTCGGCTCCTGCTGTCCCCCGGGTCACAAGCCAGAAGGCAGCTGCTCCAGCCTGCTGCACTGGATTGATGTATGGCTACCAGGCCAAATCCTCCTTGTTCAGCAGTGGCATCATTTGATGGGCCAAACACACCCTTGGGAGCACGCACACAAGTTCTGTGGGGACAGGGCATGTTTTCACACCCCACTGCCCAGCCCTGTCCACACCATAAAGCTGTGCTGCTCCGTCTGCTCCTGCTGAGGCAAGGGCAACACAGCCCCAGTGCAGACACTGAGGCTGCAGTACGTGGAGGATCAGGTGAAATTCTGGCACCATAAAACCCCCACTGCTACTGCACAAAACACGGTCCTGTAAAACTGCTGCTGCTCTTGTCTGTGGGCAGGCATGGTCCTAACAGTTCTGGCATAAATAAACCCCCAAATCCTTACCCCTTTCTGCCTGTCTGTGCAGATAATTCGAGGGCAGTATGGTGTCCAGAGGATGGAGCTTCTGCCCGGGGACCGGGAAAACTTGGCCATCCAGACCCGAGGTGGCCCTGAGAAACACGAAGTGACCGGCTGGGTGCTCGTAAGTACCTCCCCTAGGCACAGGGCTGCACAGAGAGTGCAGGGCAGTGTGCAGACAGCTCATGACAGAGAGCAGCACAGGAGACACGTGGCAACAGGCGTGGCCTGGAGGGGAAAACGACCTGTGTGAACTGGGCATGAAGGGTAAGGGGTGGCTGCTGGCTCATCTTACCCAGTGGTTTGTCTCCTCTGCCTGGCACGCAGCAGAAGCATGCTTTCTATGATCAGAGAAAGCTAGGCTTAAATAAAACATCTACTTTCTGTACATCATTGCTTTCCTGCTGCCATTAGTGGAAGGACACCCTCATCATGTCTGGGAAGGAATCAGTACAGAGGGAAAGCATCCCCAAGACCCACCCATAGCTGAGGAGCCCATACAGATCTGGCAGAACTGACCTTTGCTCAGTGAAGCACATCCCCTGCCTGGAAGCAGCACAGTGCAGAAGCCATCAGCGCTCACTCAGCAGACCCCCTGAGCTGCAGGAGTATCTGAGGGCTAATGGGTGATTGACACATGTCAAGAGGGAGGTGCTGTGCATCCCTGTAAGGGAATTGCAAGTGTTTTGGCTCCCATGGCAGAACTGAGCTTTGCTCAGGGAAGCACTCCCCCTGCCTGGAAGCAGCACAGTGCAGAAGCCATCAGCGCTCACTCAGCAGACCCCCTGAGCTGCAGGAGTATCTGAGGGCTAATGGGTGATTGACACATGTCAAGAGATGTCAAGAGATGCTGCACATCCCTGTAAGGGAATTGCAAGTGTGATGGCTCCCAGCTGCAAAGAAGCTGGCAGCAGAGGACCACAGCTTAGGGTGTTTGTTCTCTGTTGCAAAAGCAGAGATGGAAATGAGGAGAAGGAAGGGTTTGAATCCATGTTTTTGCTGGACTGACTGACTGGATGCAGCATGGAGTAGGAAGACTTCTTGCCTCCCTTCCCAAGCATGCAGTGGTTCAACATGCCTCCAAATTAAGTAAGCAATGAAAGAAAAGGAGGGGGCATTACAGCACACATATTGTGGCCCAGCAGAGGAGAAGAAAGCTAGCCTGATCCACAGGAGCAAGTACTTGTCCCAAACCTTACTGCAGAGATCCAGCACAGTCTGAACCACACTGTTTAGAGTAGACAGAAGAAATGATGCAGTCAGTGTGGTTCCTTAAGGGTTAACTGCTACTTCACACCCTCTGCTCATTTTAAGGAATCTCCAGCAATCAACAAGTTACAGAAGATAACCTTAAAACAGAATCACCTCTACCTGTGTACAGGATACTTACTGGGGGGTGGGGGATGTGTTTCTTCTCTACCTGTGTACAGGATACTTACTGGGTGTTTCTTTCTGTAGATATCTCCTCTGAGCAAGGAGGATGCTGGAGAGTATGAGTGCCACGCATCAAATGCCAAAGGAGAGGCAACAGCTTCTGCAAAAATCCACGTTGTGGAAACTCTGCATGAAATAGCCCTGGCCAAAGGTAGGTACTGTGGTTTACTCAGTTATTTGATATAGAAGGACCACCTCTGCTTAACGCTTCCTGGGGACAAAAAAAAGGCACACAAGAAATACCAGTTTTAACATGCAGCATTTAAACAAGCTCAAGAAATAAGAAATCAAGAAAATAAGCTCAAGAAATGGGCCCATGTGAACCTCAAGAGGTTCAACAAGGCCAAGTTCAAGGTCCTGCACCTGGGTCAGGGCAAGCCCCGGTATCAATACAGGCTGGGGAATTAAGGGATTTGGAACAGCCCTGTGGAGGACTTGGGGCTACTGGTGTCCAGCTTCTCACACATGAGCCAGCAAGGCACTCAGCCCAAGTGGCCAATGTTATCCTGGGCTGCATCAAAAGAAGTGTGGCCAGCAGGTCAAGGGAGGTGATTCTGCCCCCCCTGCTCCACTCTGGTGCAACCTCACCTGGAGTTCTGTGTCCAGCTCTGCAGTCCTCAGCACAAGACAGATGTGGACTCATTGGAGCAGGTCTAGAGGAGGCCCAAAGAAATGATCAGGGGGCTGGAGCACCTCTCTTAGGAGGAGAGGCTGAGGTAGCTGGGTCTGGGAAGAGAAGGCTCCAAGGAGACCTTATTGCAGCCTTTCAGTACTTAAAAGGGGGCTTTATAATGATGAGGACAGGCTTTTTAGCAAGGCCTTGCCAGGCTGCATGCAAAGCTGATGGTAAACCCACCACCCTCATTCCAGCTGTAGAGAGGGTGGCACAGACACATGTGCTTTGGAATAAACCTGGAGAGCAGGAACAGTAACTGTGACCATTCTAGAGGAAGAGGCACCAGGACCAAAGTATCCAGCTAGAGAATAGTGTGCTGCCCAGATCCACTTTTGGATATCATTCCTTTTTTTAATCCCAGTAACTCTATCCAAATGACAGTCTTGGACTAAAGACTTCCTTTAGGAGAATATTAACAGCACTTGGCACTGAAATAAGAGTATAAAATGAGTCCTGGTATCCCTGACACATGCCTAGGAGCCCTGCTAAAGGTTTTTAGCTCGTCTCTAATCCCTTTTCAAACATCTTATTTAGGCAGTGAATGAAATGGAGTTTCACCAAGCTGTGCCCCAAGCAGCACACTTAGACCCCAGGGCAGAAGTTCACTCCCCCTCTGACCAAAGCCCTGCTGTGAGGTTGTAGTACCGTGCATATTGCCTCATGTTTTATTTCTTATATACAGCCCACTTGTCACAGCTGTTCCTTCTCAGCTGTAGGAGAGCTCTCCAGTAAGCAGGCTGTAGCTCAGCAACAAGCTGGCAGTCCACAATCACTTAAAGGAAATTGATAATGTTAATGGAACAAACTGTCAGACGTAGCAGGCTTCTCCATAGCTACACACTGCGCACGGAGGGAGGCTCTGTCTCCTGTCCAGGTGATCTCAGCACAGAAAAATGCCATCTACTGCCATCCCCCACTGCTGCAGTCCTGCAAGAGGGAGGGAGGGAGGGAGTTGTTGGGTCTCACCCTCAGCTAAGAGACCAGAAAGCTCACCCACGGTGCTGCTGCCCAAGCTGTGACATTACCCCTTGGAACGGCATGAAGTGTAACCTGTTTCTGTTTTTCCACAGATGATGGTGCAGAGCTGTGATGTGAGGACTTGCACTTACACACACTTTTAAACGAGTGTTTTTGAAAGCAGCAACCTCTGGCTTTTTCTAGCTCACTAAGCATTCCCTCTTAATTCCCTTATCCTTTGATTACCAATTTGCTTGCACACTTCTTTCACAGCTACACGAATGAAGAGACTAACAAGTTTGATTACAAATTTTAATTCTATTTACAGGCAATAAAGATAACTTTGAACAGCACATAGCAGATGAGAAAGTGTATTTTAAATGCAACCTACACAAAATGAAACAAAAGCTGAGCACACCCATCTCAATTTTAAAAAAGAAAAAGCCCCTTTAAAGGCTAAACACTCATCATCCGAGGTGCGATGCTCATAGACATCAGTTCTTGGAAGAGGAGTTTGCAGGCATAGGGCATTCGAACCAAAGATATCTGGAAAGAGATTTCAAAAGGCTATGATAAGCACTTGGAAAGCACAGACATCCACCCCTCTACACAAATAACTTCTCCAGATTTTGGCTCAAAAGTGTTTCTGAAGTTAAGCATAAAAGCATTTCACCTTCTACTGCTCGCAGACAGTAACAAAACAAGAAGGAAACTGAGACTGTCTGTAGCAGCCACCCGGAACACAGATTTCATGTTAAAACCTGCAGCCCAGGGGTCTGGGTCTTAAACAAGAGCCATTTAACAAGGGAACACGTGCATAGCGGAGTGTGCCTGATGGGCAGGAAACACAGTTAGTATTTCCAGCACACATCAGTAACCCAAATGCCACGTGAGATTTGGAGCAGTACAAGAACAAGCCTGTTTAAGGCAACTATTTTTATCCCTGACATGGTTCTGTAACCACGCACACTACAAAGCTTTTTTCCTATTAAAAAAAAAAGCCCAACACAAAAGACCTCCCACGGGGACGCAGCTCTGCAAGCAGAAATGTCTTCGTGGGGACAGTCACAAGGGCAATGGCTCCAAATTCCTGTGATTCTGAGTTTTACTTCTAAAATAAGCTCTCAAGTGTTAACTTTTAAGGCCTCTGAAAACTCTCTGCTGCAAAACATTTGAGTGGCGTTTCCTGTCGAGCGACAAGCCTACGCTATACAATTCATCAGGAAACATCCAAACTAACTGGGATGCTGTAAACACTGAAAACAGTTATGAAACTAAAATAGCAATTGTTCTGGTGCTCCTTTAAATATTTACTTGCCCATCCATCTGGCTGACCAGAGCCACGCCTACCTGGGTTTTGTTACGGCAGCCCCGGCACTCGTAGGTGTGAGTCCTGGTGTTTGCGATCGCCATGATCCCACACAGGTTGCAGACATGGACTTGGTATGGGTCTGAAGCTTCAAACAGTCTCTCTCTCAAGAACTGGGCTGCTCCGTGAGCAATCTGGCAATCTCGTTCCATTTCTCCAAAACGAAGGCCACCATCACTGAAGAGAGGAAAAAAAAAACAACTCGGGTGTTGAGTACGTTGGCAAAAATACTTCAGTTCTTGTTGGTGGAACAAGTGACTTCTCAGAAACATAACATTAGTGTTGCAAGGCAGGAGTGAAGCTGTGCATTATTTTTCCTCAGACACCTCAGAATACGAACACCATGATTTGTAACTGCTGCTGAGCTTTTCTAAAGCAGATGTCAGCCAGCCAACAGTCACAGCCCAACTGTGCAGCAAAATGAGGTAAACAAATTATTCTCTATTTATCTATGGTGGGTTTAACCTCAGCTGGCTGCCAGATGCCCACCAAGTGGGTCTCTCACTCCCCCAGTGTTGACAGGACAGGGGGAGAAAATAAGATGGAAAAACCCACGGGTCGAGAGAAAACCAGGGAGATCACTTACCAGTTACCATCCCAGGCAAAAAAGGCATAACACAGGGAAAATCAGCTTCATTTACTGCCCAGTAAAAATCAGTAGGATGGTGAAAAACCAAGTCAAAACTAGAAACATTTCCCTTATCTTCTTCCAAGGATCAACTTCACTCCTTCATTCCCAGCTCCTTCCTCCCCTCACTGAGGTCACGGCGGCAATGAGGGTTGCAGTCAGTGCATTAACATTCCTCTCTGCCACTCCTTCCTCCTCACACTTCTTCCCTGCTCTAGCATGGTGTTCCTCCTATAGGGTAGTCCCTCACAAACTCCTCCAGCATCAGCATGGGCCCTTCTCAGGAACAGACCGATGCAGCATGGGCCCCCATGGGCCCCAGCTCCTGCCAGGGGCCTGCTCCAGTGTCGGCTTTCCACAGGCTGCAGGTGGACATCTGCTCTGCCATGGTCCTCCATGGACTGCAGGGGATCTCTGCTCTGGCACCTGGAGCACCTCCTCCCTTTTCTCCTTCTCTGACCTCATTGTCTGCAGGGCTGTTGGTTTCACATTTTCTCACTTCTCTCTCATAGCTGCTGTGCAGCATTTTTTACCCTTTCTTAATTACATTACCATAGAGGTGTCACCAGTGTTGCTGATGGCCTCAGCTTTGGCCAGCGGTGGGTCAGCAGCGTGTCCAGCACTGGACAATCCCTGGTCCTCTCTCAGAGAGGCCACCCCAGCAGCACCTCCTGGTGCCAAAACCTTGACACCTGCACCCAATATATGGTCTTAAGCCCAACACATGAAGACGAGTGGCTAACTGGAGAGCTAATTAAGTTCTAGCTGCTAAAAGTTGAGGCAGATAATTTTTACGGTGAAAAACTTCAAAGAAAAAGAGAACTATACAGAAACTGTACAGGAGCTAAAATATCCTTACCGAGATCTACCTTCCATGGGCTGCCTGTTAAGGATCTGGATTGGCCCTCGTGCACGAGAGTGGATTTTGTCATCTACCATGTGCTTCAACCGCTGATAGTACGTAGGACCAATGAAGATCTGTGATGTGATTTTTCGACCAGTGAAGCCATTGTAGAGAACCTGAAGCAGTTGATGCAATCACTGAATCATAAGCCTTACTATCCATCAAATTTACACTTAAAATAATTACAGTGAATTGGTATTTTGATTATACCTCATTGCCTCTTAGGTGATAGCCATAATCTGATAAAAGATTGGAAATCTTCTGCACATTGACAGCATCATTAAAAGGGGTAGCGTCACCAATTTCTCCCTTGTTTGCAGACACCTACAGAGAGAAGAGATTTGCAGAAGCTTGTCAGATTTCTGAAGGACTGGTCAGACAGTATTAAGCCATTTCAAACCGTTTTTAACTCTTAATGCCAGAACTTGAGATTCCGTGCCCATGTCAGTGTGAGGCTCAGACACGTGGCATAGAAGTTTCTTCTTACCTTCCCCTGGAGACACTCAATCAAGTGACCAATGGTCATTCGGGAGGGGATGGCGTGGGGGTTGATAATGATGTCGGGTGTGATGCCTTCGCAGGTGAAGGGCATATCCTACAGCAGGGAGACAGACCCTCAGTACATCCCAGAATACCAGCTTCCAGAAAAGCAATTGCATGGATTCAGATGAAACATTTTAAAGCATTCCAAAGGCACTGAAGTACCATGTAAGAAGCAGCTGTGTCCCTTTCTAAACATATTTTAGCTAAATTTAAATCAATGTATTATACCCGAGTAGATGTTCCACATCAAACTCACATAAGGCAGTTCCAGATCAGAGATAAAACGTCAAGGATTAAAAATAAAATCACTACCTCTTGCCTGTACTGGATACCACAGGTTCCTTTCTGACCATGCCTGCTGGCAAATTTATCTCCAATCTGTGGGATTCTTACAGAGCGTACCTGTAAGCCAGAAGAAAACATTAAACTGGTAACTTAACCACAGCATCAAAATTGTTAAAAGTAGAAGGCACAGACATCAGTGCTCACCCTGATCTTGCAGAACTTGTACCCTTCCTGGTTAAGGGTTACCATGACCTGGTCTACGATCCCAGTCTCGCTGGTCCGCAGGAAAGTGCTACAGTCCCTCTTGGTGAAGCGCCGGTTGGTGCTTTCCAGCTCATCTTCATTCTCTGGCAGTGTTACTGTTTTGCCAATGATGACATCGTCGCCAGACACACGTACCCCAGGTGCTATCAAGCCATCATCATCCAGTTTGTCATAGATTGCATGTCTCATACCTTGGGGGGAAAAAGGAAAAAAAGCAGACTCAGCATTTTTTGACATACCGACTTCCTGCAGAAAGTCAACGAGTCTCCTTGCAACTTCAGACTACTGCTAAAATGTCTGAAGGTAAATTTAGGCAGACATCTCAGCTGAAGTGTTTTGCTATTAACAGAATTTCTGCTCTTTTATATGTCCCAAAATAGAGACTAAGATCAACAGCCTTGCCCACAAAAATTTAAAGCCTCTGTGTTCATACACTGCTGTGTCTCACCTTGGCAAGTTTCGCGTGTAGGCTTCTCAAAAACTTCCTCTTGGTCATACCCTTTTTTAGACTCTTGCTCTTTGTAGGAGCGATAGAACACAGATCTGAAACAAAGTTATACAGCCTTCTCCAGTGAAACCAGCATCATTTTCCCTCATCTCTACACCTCAATTTCACTATAATCACCCTTTTGTCACATATTATGGCTACTGTTAGTAATGACAACTAAAACAAATATGTCACATGACCTTTCCTCTAATGTTTTCTTAATATGACCATCACTGATGAGGAGAAAACAAACAAAAAAACACCCCACCAACCAACCAAAAAAGTTTCAGATGGCATTTTGATGGTTACTGTTCAGATATTGCCAAAGTACCTATACATACTGATTTTGATGGACTGCAGAGACCTTTGGATCAACTTGACCTCTCAAAAGTACTTGTTATTCCTAGAGATTTTTCACACCTTCCTTGTATCCTGCTCATTACTTTTCTCCTTTGACCTGCCACTTTGCAAGCATTTTCAGGTGTCTACTGTTACCCTGCAGTGCCACACTCAGTACAACTAAGCTGCAGTGGAAAACTTTCCATTTATATAGCCTTTTTTTCTGGGGCTTTAGGGGTTTTTATTTGCTGCCTCAGTTGCCAGCACACCAAAGCCACAGCCTTTCAGACAGTATTATCTGCATGTATGTGATTGCTCCCACCCCTGCACACATGTGCCATGAAAGTCTAAGTCTTATTCTACACTGGAAGGCAGTAGATCCAAGATACCAAGCACGTGCTTCTTGGATTCAACTTATACAAAAGAAAATGAACAAGAACTAGAAACTCATTGACCAGCTATACAGCTAACCACAGCCACCTAAAACCTATCAGGCACAAAGTCACATCAGTTTCCAGTTGTCCAAACAGCAGT